CCCTTCCATTATACATCCATATTCTTACTAAGTCCTAACTCTTGGGGTGGGAGAACTTGCCCTCATCAGGCTCAATACAGATGGATGAACAGAGGGCTTTAATAACTGTCATTCATCAGGATCCACTATTATGATATCCAGAGTTGGCGCATTCGCCTTTTTTGGCATCTTTAGTGTGGAAACTCCATCGGTATCATTTGCTAACAGAAATAGAAAAACTAATGGCTCACAAAATTTTAAAAATAAAAAAAAAATCAAAAACTACAGAAAATGTTGCCGGCTACACGCCAATGGGGAATCAATATACTCTGGGACCTCTCGGGGTCAACATCATTACCATCATGCGCTGGGTGAGATCAGTACGTTGCTGCGAGCCGCCGAACAAGATATTCCCCCGAATTGATCCCTTCATACTTCTTCTCCCCCAGCTCCCCACCGTACGTACCAGGAATCGCCTCGATAAACCTATCAAAATTCGGATTGCAAAAATAGGCCACGCTATAGCGCGCCGGGTGCACGGCTGGGTCCTCCTCATCCACCCCTTCCCTCGAGGGAGGCTCCACAACTCGATGGAGAGTGCTTTTGATTTGATCATTCGCCCACCGCGCGAGCAAATCTCCTGCATTTATCACAATGGTGTCGGCAATGGGCGTGACGTCGATAAAAGTTCCCTTGGGCGATCGAACCTGCAACCCGCCCCGGGCGTCCTGGAAGAGCAGCGTGATAGAGCCGTAGTCGCTGTGCTCGCCCGCGCGAACTTGGCCCGCGTTGTCCCTGAAGACGGATTTAGGAACGGAGGGGTAATGCAAAAGTCTCAGCGTGTTATCCCCCACGCCTGTGTACTCGTCGAAGAAGTCCTCGGGGAGACTCAATCCAACAGCTATGGCGCTCATGACCTTGATATGCAGCTCTTTGCACGTGAGGAAGAATGCTTTCATGGTCTCTGTGAACTCCTCTCCCTTATCGTCTAGTTTGTCAGGCCACTGGTTCGGCAAGCCCGCTTCATCATCGCGGCCGATTTCGAAACTCTCTTTTAAATCGGGGATTGTCACCCTCATCTTCTGAATCTCGTCCTTGTCGGAGGACTGGGAGACTTTTTCCCGACCTACGGCTGTATATCCTCTGTTCGCTTGCGGAGTTGTCCATGCTAAACCGTCCTTTTCGACCTGGGGCCTCTTGAAGAACCTGGCAGACGTGTCGAAGATATTCTTCACAACCGACGGGGGGATTCCGTGGTTCTTCAGGTAAAGGAATCCCGAGGTTTTGAAGGCTTTGGTCATAGAAATTCCCACGGCCAGTTTGTCATCGGGGCTGCCAGAAAGATAGGGCTGGAAATCGATAACCTAGAAACGAGGTGTTATCAGATGTGATCCCCCAAGCGCATTTCAGAAAACTTGAAAACCTGGATTTTGAAAGCCGGCTTACAGGAATTACCAAGTCATCTTTGGAGACGCCTTCTGAAACGGGATTACATTCCTGCAAGGAAGCCATATTTGCTGGTAGTTTTCTTCTCAGGGCGGTTGGTTCTCTTTAGTACCGATCTTTGAGTACGAGAAGGGAGCGGGGTAGTTGTGGAGAGCAGTTAATTGTGGAGAGGGCCTGGTCCGGTCTATACGGGGCAGAAAACAACAAATGGACAAGTGAGACGAGGTAAATAAACGCTGTGGAAGAGTGTGAGTGCTGGCATACACCAAACCTCGCACCAAGCCTCATCAAGCAAGGAAGACTGTTGCCAAGACACAATCACCATCCGTATCCATCCGACTCAGGGGTAAGACGCCGTCCATAATCGCACAGGTATGACAGGAACATGTGGACCGTTGATACTTCTACATCCCACTTTCTTCCCGTTGCATAGCGGTTGATGGTACACGGCGGGAAGTTTATCTCATCAAAGGTTTTTGCCGGATGTTGGTACCCCGCACTTCCGCGCGGGAGCGCTAGACGCAGCCGCTGAGCTTAACGGGACGGAGCCTGGATCGTTAGGCCTGGCCGGGGATGGCTTTACCTAAGGCCGGCTTGGCCAGCGGCAGCAGGATGCCCCTCCACCACAAACGCGATTCTCAATTAGACACATACGTCATGTGCTTCTACTGAGCGACCAAGCTCTTGTATCGCACTGTCCAATACCTCTCAGGAGAATAACCCGTCCTGACTTCGGGGAAATTTGAAAAGCATGCTCAGATTTCCAACCCCTACTAACTAACTGCCCAGTTGTCGCATGAGCCATGCCAGAGCAGCCAAAGGGCAGATGCCGCTACCATGTGATATCACACCACATCTATCAAATCTATCTCATCTCTCGTCGCGCACACGTCCTACATCTATGATCCCGACGCAGCCTGCACGCTCATCATC